TTGTGGGCATACTGCAAAGCCAAGGGAAACCCTCACCTATCCCCCAGGGACAATCAGGCTGACCAAATAAGCAAACACCATGCTTGGATAATGAGTCCAAGCTCCTTGGATAATGAGTCCAGGCTTTTGACATCCTGTGCCATGCCCCTGCCTTTCCACATGGACTTAGAGCTGGAAACCTATACCTCCTGGGCTACTCAGCTCTCCAAGCTGCCCACTCACTGCTCACCTGCAAGCTGCAGATAGCCATAGGACATTCTGCACCACCGGTGACCAAATCCTCCAAGTGCTAAGCAGAGGCCTGGGTGGGATCTAACCCAGCCAGGGTAAACCAACCCTGACCTCTGGTTGTACTAAGGAGGGCAGAAGAAAATAAGGGGGAAATATGCCTGGTTGCTGAAGGGGATTGATCCAGGGAGGTGCTTCCTTTGGTTTTAGGTCCTAGAGCCTCGAGAGATCACTTCTTGGCTACTAAAAAGGAATTGGCAGAGATAGAAAGGAGAAATGAAGTGCAGGCTGGGTGGAGCAGTATGAGAACAGGGTTTTGGCCTGGAGGAAGAAGGTGGGGAGGGGATTCAGACCTCAGGCTTCCTCGTAGCAGTTCACTGGGCAGGAAGTGAGGGTAGAGGCAGAATCAGGTTTGACAGGAAGGCCCAGGGAACAAAGGAGTCACATAGTGAGGAGGATGAGGTCCTGGGGGAGGTGTGAGGTGAGGAAAGTACGGGAGGCTTAAGGAGGTCAGGAGGTGTAGAAAGGCCAACAGAGGGGCCAACAGGGGTTGTGGCTCAAGTGGTAGAATGAATGCCTTCCTAGCAAGTACAGGGGCCTGAGTTCAAATCCCAGTACCAACAAAACAAAACAGAAAGGCCAACAGGGAAGGGAGAAGAGAAACGAAGACTGTCTGAAAGCTTCTAGAGGCTGGAGACAGTGAGGGGACAGTGGCCATGACTAATGCATTGCAAAGGCCCACCAGCTCAGCTCAGTTATCCATGAACCAGCAGAGAAAAACCATAGTGGACCCCTTCAAAATGGAGGGAGAGAGGAAAGACAGGAAAGCAAGGGGTAAAGGACTCATAAAAAAAAAGAAGCCGGGCGCTGGTGGCTCACGCCTGTAATCCTAGCTACTCAGGAGGCTGAGATCTGAGGATTGCGGTTCAAAGCCAGCCAGGGCAGGAAAGACCGTGAGACTCCTATCTCCAATAAACCACCAGAAAAACCGGAAGTGGTGCTGTAGCTCAAGTGGTAGAGCGCTCGCCTTGAGCTGAAGAGCTGAGGGACAACGCCCAGGCCCAGAGTTCAAGCCCCACGACCGATAAAAAAAAAAAAAAAAAGGATAATGGGCCAGGTGCTGGTGGCTCATTCCTCTAATCCTAGCTTCCCAGAAGGCTGAGATCTGAGGATCATGATCGGAAGTAAGTCCTAGCAGGAAAGACTTCTTTTTTTTTTTTGGCCAGTCCTGAGACTTGAACTCAGGGTCTGGGCCACTGTCCCTGAGCCTTTTTTGCTAAAGGCCTGAACTTTACCACTTAACCACAGTGCCACTTCTGGCCTTTTTTATTTATATGGCACTGGGGAATCGAACCCAGGGCTTCATGCATGCTAGGCAAGCACTCTACCACTAAGCCACATTCCCAGCCCCTAGCAGGAAAGACTTTTATTTCCAATTAATCACAAGAAAAAAAAAAGCTGGAAGTGGAACCATAACTCAAGTGGTAGAATGCTAGCACGGAAGCTCAGAGACAGCATCCAATCCCAGAGTTCAAGCCTCAGGACTGGCACACATACAAAATAGTAGGCCAGGTATCAGTGGCTCATACCTGTAATCCTAGCTACCCACAAGCCGGAGATCTGAGGATAGAGGTTCAAAGCCAACCTAGGCAGAAAAGTTTGAGACTATCTCTAATTAACCAACCTGAGAATCGGAAGTGGAACTGTAGCTCGAAGTGGTACAGTGATAGCCTTGAGCAAAAAAGCTCAAGAACAGCAACGAGGCCCTGAGTTCAAGCTTCACAACAAAACAAACAAAAGACAACAGGGATGTCCAGTAGGAGAGAGTAAGAACTGAAGACCCAGTGTTCATGGTTGGGCTCTACAACTCCCCTGGCCTGGTTTTTTGCTGGTTAAGTAGAGATGGAGTCTCTTGGATTTTCTTGCTTGGGCTGGCTTTGAACCTCAATCATCAGATCTCTGCCTGCTAAGAAGTGAAGCTAGGAATAGAGGTATTAACCACTGTTTCGCTTTCTTATATTTTTAAGATCATTGGGTAACCATTATTAGCCCAGCCTGGCCTGGAACTCTCAACCCTCTTGTTTGAGCTTCACATGTGCTAGGATTATTGGTGTGTACTATTGTATCTGGCCCTACATACAAGTCTTTCTGTGGGTATGTGTTCTTTTCTCTTGGGTATAATCCTTAGGAGTGGATCTGCTGGTGCTACTTTCCCATCAGTCATGCAAGATTTCCTTTGCTTCGTATCTTTGCCATTTTTTGTTGTCCCTCTTTTTGGGGAGGTGTCTGTCCTGATTTAACTTAGGATCTCATATGACCTGATTATTACAGTAACATTTTACTATGATTTTGATTTGCATTTCTCTAGTGATAAATGATATTAAGTATTAGTAATCTTTTCATGTATTTATTAATTTTGCCCACTTTTATATTGGGTTTTCTTCCTATTAAGTTGTAAGAATTCTTTGTATGTTCTAGATTTGAGTCTCTCTTTTTTTTAATAAAAGGTATATATGATTTGAAAATTATTTTCTGTCAGTTTGTGGCTTGGAGTTTTATTTTTGTGATTTTTTTATGATTAAGCATTTTTAATTTTGATAAAGTCCAATTTACCAAGTTTGACTTTTAATGCTTTAGGTATTAAATCTAAGAAGGCTTTTGCTAACCAATGGCAATAATTTTCTCCTTCTAGAATTTTTATAGACATCAGATTGATTACATTATTTAATTAAAAGAGGAACCAATAAAAATGTTTTGACTGAACAACACAAATACATGTAAATGATTTTTTTTTTTTTTAAAGATACTGAGGTTTGAACCCTGGGCCTCCTTGCTTGTTCGTCAAGTGCTCTACTACTTGAGCCATGAGCCATGTCCCCTAGTCCTTTTTATTTTAGCTCTTTTTCAAATAGGGTGTTACTTTTTACCTGGGCCAGCTTGGATCATAATATTTCTAACTTTTCTCATAGTTGGGATGACCAGAATGTGCAGCCATGTCCATCTTTTTATTGATTGAGATGGGGGGAGGGGGGGTCTCATGAATATCTCTACCTAGTTTGGCTTTGAACCACAATTCTCCCAATCTTAGCCTCCGCAGTAGCTAGTAGTATAGATATGAGCCATCATGCCTGGCTAAACAATGCACTTTTGGGTCAAGAAAGAATTCATAAAGGAAATTAGAAAACATTTCAGACACAAGGATAATGAAAATCTCTTTTTCTGGCAGCCCTGGGATTTGAACTCAGGGCACTTACTCTATCGCAATTGTATCATGTTAGCCTCCTACTTCAACAACACTTAATATGAAGTCAAAACTTGAAAGTGGCCTTTTCTCTATGCACTTTCTATACTTGCCACTCTCTCCAGCCACCTGGCCTTTGCAGATGTGGTTCCCTCTTCCCTGAATATACTTCTATCCCCTTCTTGAGCTAGCACGCTACCACTTGAGCTACACCGCTAGCCTTCCCTCCTCTTCTTCTTAATTCCTAATCATCATTCATATCTCTGTCAAGAATCACTTTTCTAGGGAAGCTGTCTCTGTCACTCTTGGCAAGGTCAAATGTCCCAATTATTATTAATCCAATGATTAAATCTTTTAACACTCATCATAGGCTTACCATTTTATTGGGATGACTATATGATTCAGGTCACCCTCTGTATTAGAGGATAAGTTTTACAAGGGCAAGATCACATGTGGTTGTATTAATCATTGTTTCCCTAAGTACCTGACATGAACCTGAGCCACGGAGCAGCCACAGTACAAGAATCTGTTGAAGGCCGGTACTGATGGTTCACACTTATAATCCTAGCTACTCAGAAAGCTGAGAACTGAGGATCAGGGTTCAAAGCCAGCATGAAAGTCTGTGAGACTCTTTATCTCCAATTAACTATCAGAAAACTGGAAGTATCTGGGCTTTGGTGGCATGCCTACTGCTAGCTACTCAGGAGGCTGATATCTGAGGCTCACAGTTCAAAGCTAGCCTGGGCAGGAAAGTCCATGAGACTCTTATCTCCAGTAAACTACCAGAAAACTGGAAGTGGCACTGTGGCTCAAGTGGTAGAGTGCTTGTCTTGAGCTGAAGAGCTGAGGGACAGTACTCAGGTTCAGAGTTTAAGCCCCATGACTGACAAAAAAAAAAAAAGAAAACTGGAAGTAGAGCTCAAGTGGTAGAGTGCTAGCCTTGAGTAGAAAAGCTCAGGAACAGCACCCAGGCCCTGAGTTCAAGTCCCACTACTGACAAAAAAAATGTCGAATGACAATTTTTGTAAGGTCATGCAGGATGAAAACAGGATTTTCAGGGGTAAAGGAAGGGGAGTTAATGTCTTCAAAGAATCAAGGGAGTGACTAGTAAGGGGAATGGACAGAGTTGAGTTGGGCTTCATCCAGATTAAGACCAGACACTCAAGGATGTGTAGCTGAATGGAGGAAGGAGTGCTGAACAGAGCACAAAGAAAATCAACTCTTCAGTCACTGCTGGACCAGATTAACTTTTGAACTGGATTTTCTTGTGGATGAAGAAGTTCTCATAAGCAGTGCTTATGACAGGAAAGCTGTCATTCACCAGTGGATGGTATCAATGAAAATGGAGCTGAGGGGTCACCTCTAGGCCATCCCTGCTACTATTCCATTCTTCAGGAATTGGTAATCAAACACAGAGAACCCCGGGCACCTCAAACAGAAGCACCCCATTAATGTTTCTTCCCAGTCCTTCTCAAACTAAAAATCTGATGCTTGAAGCCTAAATAGAAACCCTTCCCATGAAGGTACATACCTTGGTCCAGCCAGGAAACTGAATGTAGGTGTCCTGGGGCAAGTCTGGGATTCCCCGGGGAATGGAGAAGTTGCCCACATAAAAGGCCGGGAGTGTATATGAAGATGAGCCTCTAGGAGCCTCTTTGGCAACATGGTGGCCAGATCTGTGGTGGCTAGCTCTGTGGTGGCCAGCTCTGTGGTGGACAGCACTGTGGCGGACAGCCACATGGCGTCCAGCAACATGGCGTCCAGCATCAAGGCGGCTAGCATGATGGTTTCTCCAGACTGCTAGGCGGCTGTGCAGTACATCCTCAGTGTCCAGTGGGAAAATGGTCCAGTTTGTGAGGATATTGTCACCAAGGGTCAGGTTAGAGACTAAACCCTATGAAGAAGAAACAGCATCATGAGCTGGGGAGGAAAGGAAAAGGACTTGCATGCCTCTGCATTCAGCACCGAATCCCTCGGAAAGCACACTGGGATTCAAAGCACCAACAAACTACACATACAAGCACCACAGCTCTGGCTTGAGGCCCAAATCACATCTTGGGAAGAGGTGTATGCCTACACTGCAGCATGTCCCTCTTTGGGAGGCTGTAGTCAACACAAGAGTAGACGAGAAGCCCATGGAACTCTTGGCCTCACTTCACTAATCCTCTGTGTTTGTTAAAATAGAAGACAAATGGATCCGAGAAAAGGGAAAGCCTCTGCTTCTCACACAGAACCTGGAGCCAGTGTCGTCTTGGAGCCTCTGAGCTCAGGATGCTCATACCTGAGTTCACCCAGCCACTGTGAAGTGAGAAACACTAGTTGAGAAGACTCTGAGGTCTATAAGAGGATATGAATGGCCATGACAATAGTGGTGAGCCTCAGAATTGGTGTGGATTTCTCTATCTGTCCCAAGGAGCCAAGAGCTGGCAAGTCCCTGGCAACAGTTACCACACAGCAGCTTACACTCGGGACTATGTGAGAATACTGAGGCTTACCCTTAGCCTTGAGTTCTCACTCAGTTCAGTTGTTGACAACTGATGTGCTAGCACTTGAGCCACATTTCCAGCATGGAATTTTGCTGGTTATTTTGGAGATGGAACCTTACAGACTTTTCTGCTAAGGCTCAGTGTGAGCAGTTATCCACCAAATCTCAGCCTGCTAAGGAGCTAGGATTACAGACATACACCTCTGGCACCTGGATTCTAACTTCTTCTTCTTCTTTTCTCTTTGGTATGTATCTCAGGCTGGCCTGGAACTCATTCGGTAGCCTAAGCTGGCCTCAAACTCACGATCCTTCTGCTTTTGCTTCCCCAAAGCTGGGTTTTACAGAATGTGCCAATGGCACATTCTTCACTTTTTTTGTCCAGTCCTGAGGCTTGAACTCAGGGCCTGGGCACTGTCCCCAAGCTTCTTTTTCTCAAGGCTGGCATACTACCACTTGAGCCACATCACCACTTCCGCCTTTTTCCGTTTATGTGGTGCTGAGGAATGGAACCCAGGGCTTCATACATGCTAGGCAAGTGCTCTACCACTGAGCCACCTTCCCAGCCCACATTCTTGGCTTTTTATATGAGGAACTTCATTCCCAATGAGGTCCCAGATTTGTCTCAGGATACCTTCTGATACCAAGTTTCAACTGTCCATTTAGTGAGTGAGGTAAGTATATCACACTTAGTACTGCAATATGCAGCTATGTGGCAGGCTTTTGGCTGGGTATTGGAGACTCAGAGACTACTCAACAGAGTCCAGTCTCTTCAGAGGTCAGTAAGGCCTATGAGAGGCAGGCAGGGAAGACCCTGATTATAGCTGAGCCCAAGGATGGTGAGAGACATTTATAATAGAGGCAAAGGCATCTACCACACAGCCTTTGTGTGTAATTGGTTAGCCTCTGAGCTGCTTCCGAAAGGGTCAGGAATTAGTCCCTGTCCTGTTCTAGACCAGGGGTGCATTTGTTTCTTCGAAGAGCCTTCTTTCCTCTTATAGACATCCTGTCTTTGTACCCTCCAGAAGCACCTTGTGGGGACACCATGTAAGCTAAACAAAAATCTATGAGGCTAGAAATATTTGTTAGAACAACAGATTTTGACTAGACACTTGGATATAGAATAAAAGGCAAGAGTCAGTTCAGCAAGAAAAAAGGCTGTCCACAGCACTCAAGGGTCACAGATGTCCATGCAGCTGAGCTCTCCAGATGCTCAGCATGCTGGGTTGAAAAGGGAGTGTCTTTCATGAGCGAGGTGGGTTTTCAAAGCAGAGGAAGAGGAAGAACGTGGTGGAGAGGCTTCCGTTGCTTTCTGTGGGATGACCACACTCAAGCTAAAGGGAAGCATTCAACTGTTTATAAAGCTCCACTTTCTTATCACCTGCCAACGAAAGGAGCTCTTCAAAATAACTCATCATTTAGCTTGCAAAACAAATCAGGGAGGTTCACTCATCAAGCTTGGCAAATTTGTGCTCTTAGAAACTGCCTCTCTCCTGTGACCAGGCATGACTGTGATGATCATGTCATAGTATATACATATATCAAAATATTAAGTTGAGGGTGGGCACCAATGGCTCATGCCTGTAATCTTGGCTTACTCAGGAGGCTGAGATTTGAGGATCACGGTTCAAGGTGAGCTAGGGCAGAAAAGTCCCTGTGAGACTCTTATCTCCAATTCACCACTCAAAAACCAAAAGTAGTACTGTAGCTCAAAGTGGTAGAATGCTAATCTTGAGCAAAAAGAGCTCAGGGACAGTGCCCAGGCCCTGAGTTTAAGCCCCCAAGACTGACAAAAGACAAATGAAAACAAAAGAAAAACCATTAAGTTGTACTGCTTAAATATAAGACATATGGGCTGGGAAGGTGGCTCCATGGTAGAGCGCTTTGCCTTGCATGCATGAGGCCCTGGGATTGATTCCTTAGCACCACATAAGCAGAAAAAGCCAGAAGTGGCGCTGTGGCTCAAGTGGTAAGCTGAAGAGCTGAGGGCACCCAGGCCCAGAGTTCAGGCCTCACGACTGACAAAAAATAAAAAAATAAAATAAATAAAAAATATATAAGACATATTTCTGGGTGTCAGTAGTTCACAATTGGAATCTTAAGCTACTCAGGAGACAGATCTGGAGGATCAAGTTTCAAAGCCAGCCCAGGCAGAAAACGTAAGAACAAACAAATATAAAGCATATTAAAATTGCTTCTATGTTAATGGAAGTGGAGGCAAAGACTGCATTATGAGTTTTCAAATCAATCTATAAAACTTTCTCCAATTATTCAGACATATGCCAGGAACCCTTTAGCCTCAGTCCTAACAGTGTTGCTCATCCTACCTTAAAATCGTTGATAGACTTGCCATAGTTTATGCGCCCCATGTTCTCTACCAGGATGTCCAATGTGGCTCCAGCTTTTCCCTTTATGAAAAGAAGGATCTTCTGGTTTCGCTCCAGGATTCCTTGAGGTACCTACGGGTTCAAGGTCAAATGAAAATAGAATGGAAGGTATGAGAAGGAGCCTGTGTAATTAGTCTCACACATTTCCTGCTGTTGGGGGCTACTGCACTTGTAGGGAGTATGTTGATAACCCTTAGCTCAAGTTACTCTAAGGGGCCAAGTTTCCCCAATCAAGGTCTTCTAAACTGCAGAACTGCCAAACACAGCTCTGAGCAAAGAAAGGGCCAGGCTGAGTTCCTTGGAATATTGTGCTGAGCATCTGTTGTTGTTTTTGTTAGTAAAAGTAGTGCTGGGATTTGAATGCAAGGTCTTATACTTGCTAGACAGACACTTTCCCACTGACAGCAAGCCCCCAACCTGAACATCACAGAAGAAACCAGAACTGAGGCAAAATTCCAGGGAAGCATTCCTAATAGAGGAACTATTTCATGGCTGCACAGTACAAAAGTCAGTTGTGAAGAAATAGCTTCTAAACAATGTGGAGAAATGAGACAAAAATCAGATAACTGAGATAAAATCAGAAAGTTAGGTGGGGTATTCTCACCTCAAAATGCTTGATATGATGCCTTAACCACAGAAATTACATAACAGAATGAAGGAAAACAACAGGCATTTTATCAGTTATATATTCCTAATTCTTTACAGGAAGTATGTGTGTGTATGTGTGTGTGTGTGTGCGTGCGCGCGCACGCATGTGCGTGCTAGTAGTAGGGCTTGAACTCAGGGCCTTGTGCTCTAGCTTGGCTTTTTTACTCAAAGCTGGTACTCTAACACATGAGCTACACTTCTGGCTTTCTGCTGGTGTAACTAGAGATAAGAATCTCTGGGATTTGTCTGTCTGGGCTGGCTTTGAATCTTGATCCTCAGACTTCAGCCTCTTGAGAAGCTAGAATTATGGGCATGAATCATGTATACCTGGCTCTAAAGGTTACTTTTTTTTTTTTTTTTAAATACTGGCACTACTCTGACTACAAGTCACAAAGACAATTCATAAATTGGAAACCATGAAATAACCACCATAAATACAGCATAATATTTTAGAAACTTGTTCTCACTGAAATTAAAATAATGCATATATTTTCATTTAAAATCCTTTGAACTATGCCAGGCTCTGTGGCTGATGCCTCTAATCCTAGCTACTCAGGAGACTGAGATCTGAGAACTGAGGTTCGAAGCCAGCCCAGGCAGGAAAGTCCATGAGACTCTTATCACCAATAAAAAATACTTAGAAAAGGCCAGAAGTGGTGCTGTGGCTCAAGTGGTAGAGCACTAGCATTAAGCCAAAGGAGCTCAGGGACAGCGCCCAAGCCCTAAGCTTAAGCCCCAGGACAGTCACACATACATATAAATGCTCTGAATGAATTTTCTTGGTTTGGAATTTTTTGCGTGTGTCTTTGCAGAGGACTGTTTCATAAGAAAGGGAGCGCTCTCTGTCTCTCTCTCCCTCCCTCCCCTCTTCCCTCTGTCTCGCTGTCTCTGTCTCTCTCTGTCTCCATTTCTCTCTCGGCTATGTAACCCAAACTGTCCTTAAAGTCACCATCCTCCTGCCTCAGATTCTTCAGGGTTGGGATTACAGATATGTCACAACACACATAGCCCTGGAATTAATATTCTCAAATGTGCCTACATTTTGTTACACAACCAAGCTTCTTGGTGCCTTATAGTTATACCTGATGTGAGCACAACTCCAGATTATAACTTTTTTTGTGTTCTTATGTCAATACTAGGACTAGGGCATACGCACTAAGGCTAGTATTCTACTGCCTGACCTGAGCCACAGCTTCATATCCAGCTTTTATTGGGTGGCTATTGGAGATAAGATTCTCATGGACTTTCCTGCCCCGAGGCTTTGAACCTTGATCCTCAGATCTCAGCCTCCTGAGTAGCTAGGGTTATAGATGTGAGCCACTGGTATCTGGCCAGACTGTAACTCTTGATTTGGAGGAAGCACCCGGTTCAGAGACCATTATGTACGACAAATATAAAAATGGGACTGTAGATAGATGTTGTTCCCAAGGAGCAGAGAAGCAGGGTAGATCTGCAATTAGTCTCAGGATTAACATGGGCACAGGGTGTTTCTGGGCATAGGCAGGATGGCATATAGCTAAACCCCAGAAGGAAGAGGGCTGGCAGCTTGAGGCTGGAGAGGTGAATCATCATTTTGTAAGTACAGATTGCACAGACCCATGTGAGCAGAGAAACAGGGCTCTTACCCCATCCACAGCGACATAGGCCCGATCGTGGACCCCATTAAAAGAGGAGAGGGTCGTCTCGTTGCTGTAATCTTCAGGAAGTGTGGTTCGGTACAGCACAAATCCATAGTACTGATTAGGAAGAGATTTAAGGAAAGCACATCACTCTTGGCTATTCATTGAAAGTGAACTTGGTTTCCCCTGATTTGTATGAAAACAAATGTTTCAAAACACCATCAAGAATGAAAAGCATATCAAAATGAACTTCAGGAAATGAAAACGAGTTTTTCTTTTTTGCTGTTTTTGTTTTCTTTCCTTTTTGTTCTGTCTTTGGGCACCTAAAGGGAGGCACAGAAATGGAGAGCCAAAGGATAAACAAATGCAGCAGCGGTGCTCACTAGACACTATGTTGCAAATAAAGTATACAACTTGTACTTGGGATGCGAAGGAAAAGCTGGGAGAGACTGAGGAAAGGGGTGTCATTGTTCAAAAAGAAATGTACTCATTAGCTGATTTATGTAACTGTAACTTCTCTGAACATCAGCTTTATAATAACAATAAAGATTTTTTTTTTAAAGAATGAAAAGCAAAATTCAAATCTGCAAGAAAGGAACTGGCTTCAGTTTTTTGTTTTTTGGTTGTGGGGCTTGAACTCTGGGCCTGGGTATTATTCCTCAGTTCTTCAGCTCAAGGCTAGTACTCTACCACTTGAGCCACAGCACCACTTCCAGTTTTCTGAGTGGTTTATTGGAGGTAAGAGTCTCATGGCCTTTTCTGCCCGGGCTGGCTTTGAACTGCAATCCTCAGTTTCTCAGCCTCCTAAGTAGCTAGGATTACAGGCATGAACCACCATGCCTGGCTTTGGCTTCAGTTTTGATTATAGGATCACTATCCTGACAGCAAGCTTCTAGGAACTCTGGTGTGTCTTATTACCAAGCATTTCTCTTCCTCGTAGGAAAATAACCCCAGGGAGCATAAATTGTTTACCCAGAAGGATCTGGGATCATCTATATCAGAAATTGCCAACATTAACTCCAAAAACAAAACCAAGAAAAACTACCACTAACAATAAAGAAGCCAGACAAACATCAACAAAACCAATGTCCTTGCCAGGCATTGGTGGCTCACGCCTGTAATTCTAGCAACTCAGGAGGCTAAGATCTGTGGATTGTGGTTCAAAGCCAGCCTGGGCAGCAAAATCCATGAGACTCTTATCTCCAATAAATCACCAGAAAAACTGGAAGTGGCACTGTGGCTCAAGTGGTAGAGTGCTAGCCTTGAGCTAAAGGACAGCGCCCATGCCCAAAGTTCAAGCCCATGACCGAAAAAACAAAACAAAACAAAACAATGTCCAGGTCCTAGGGCTGGCTGACTGTGCTCTATCATACAAACAAGACACAATCTGAAACTATGTAAAGTGGAAGTACAAGGGAAAGAGAGAGTTAGGGGACCAGGAAAGGGTTGTCTCCAAATCAAAAAGTTATTTTTTGATGCTGACTTTTGGGTCCTAAAGGAAAGCCTTTGCTCAGCTCAGTGTTCAGTGAATTACTTGCTGACTTTGCCTGTTTCCTTCTTGCTGTGGATCTTACCAAGGCTGAGCTGGAATGAAATCTGGAGTTATCAAAGAGAACCTCAAAAGAAGCCCAGCATGAAACAGGGACAAAGTCCCCACTGCTGGGTTCTGACGTTGGAAGATTATTTGGGGGAGCCAAGGAAAGCATGAGCCCACTGCCCTGTGCAGACACACCCACAGAACACGCCATGTTCTTCAAGCACCAGTTTCTGCCCTACCATCCCAAGCATCTGCCTACCTTTTTTATATCTTTTTTTTTTCTTGCCAGTCCTGGGGCTTGAATTCAGGGCCTGGGCACTGTCCCTGAGCCTCTTTTGCTCAAGGCTAGCATTCTACCACTGGAGCCACAGCACCACTTCTAGCTTTTTCTGTTGATATGGTACCAAGGAATGGAACCCAGGGCTTCACACATGCTAGGCAAGCACTTTACCACGAAGCCATTTTCCCAGCTCATTGTACTTATATTTTATAGACATAAATCAAAGGTGGGGTGCCACCTCTGAGGCTGAGGAAAAGTGTGCAGGGCTTTTAGGAGGAAGCAGAAGTTGGGGGGGTTCTTAGTCAGGTGGCTGAGGAAGGCTCAGCCTCAAGAGATGAGGAGGAGTCACTAAGCTGGGCCCCACTACTGAACCCTGGAACTCCACAGGTTCGTTGGAAATAAGTATTGTTTGAACTTGTCCTAGAACTGAAAGAGCCAGGGCTCAGGATGCCAATGCCAGAGTGCTATAGGAGCCCGAGGTCAGATCAGGAAGAAAGGGCTAAGGACAATGGCTCAAGTGACCACTCGTTGACCTAGAGCTCTCTCCCCAGGCTCCAAGAGCAGTGTCCATGTTTTGTCAGGACTGCTCCATGACCCTGGAAAGCGGAAATAAGTGCCATTCTACTGATGTACACACATGTATAGGCAGTGTGTACCAGGACTGAGAACTTGTCCCCAGGGCCAATATAAATGTATGTGCACAGAGGATAGCACTATTCAATGTACTGAACACAAGAGAGAGCTCAGCCCTGGTGACCAGATTCCTATCTCCAATTAACCACCCAAAAGCTGGAAATGGTTTGGCTCAAGTGGTAGAGCACCAGCCTCGTGCAGAAAAAGACCCTGAGTTAAAACCTCAGTATTGGCGGGGGACAAGGAAGGAAGGAAAGAAGGGAGGGAGGGAGGGAGGGAGGAAAACTGATCAGAGCCCATCCCTTTCCCAGCCTCAGTGGGGCTCATAGCCAGGGCCAAAAGCACATGCACGTGTACACACACATGTGCGTGCACACACATGTTGGAATAAAAGCATGAGAGTGAAAATAATTACAGTATACAAAAACTACACTAAGAGTAAACGTGCTGTTACTATGTCACATTGCTTGCTGAAAGGAATCTCCATAGAAAATCAGACACTTCACAAAATGGGTTAAGACTACAGCACTGTGATCATTCTTGACAGGGCAACAGGGTCCAGGGACCCCACAGGCATCGAGGATCAGGCCCTGAGGAGAACATGTCTCTTCTGTTGTGAGCCTAATTAGTGAGGGGCAGTCTACAAACAGCCCAAACTATTCACAAATATACAGGTTGTAACAGAGATAGAGGAAGTGTCAGATGAGAGAAGTTCAAAGAAGGATTATAAATAAATGCCATGGGTTGGAAACTGGATTGAGCAAAGAATTAGAAAGGTACTACTGTCATGACTAAAGATATTTGAACACAATACAAAATGTTATTAGATAAATGGGTAGTATTAATCTAAAATTTATTTTCATTTTTAATTACTTACTACTTTGCCAGTACCAGAGTTTAAACTCAGGGCTTCAGCTTGCTTGGTTTGCTTGCTCATGGCTGGTGCTCTACTACTTAAGCCATGCCTCCAGCCTGATCTTTTTTGTGGTGCCAGTACATGGGTTTGAACTCAGGGCCTCTCATCCTTGCTTGACTTTTTTACTCATCATTGGTGTTCTACCACTTGAGCCATGTCTCTAGTTCTGCCTTCTTGCTGGTTCCTTCAAAATGAAAGTCTCCTGAGTTTGTCTGCCCTGGCTAGCTCCAAACCCCAATCCTTTTCATCAGAATAAAAAGTTGTGAAAAGCTTCTAAACAAATATGAGGCCAGTGCCTAGAGATTAAACCTATGCAAAACTATAGACACTAAAAACCAAAATATGCTCTGTTCTTTTCAAAAAGAAAAAATCCAGTCCAAGAATCTAGTCCCTATACTATTGAGCAAACTAAAACCAGACAAGCGAATCATCTTGTTAAGTATTAAAATGGTGTGTTCCATGTCCAGTACTAGGGATTTATTTATTAGATCAATTGGTGCACTCAATCTGTAACTCCCACAGGTGTGTGAAGCAAGCCAAGTGACAGGAAGAAACAAGAGGAAATATAGAAAAATCACCCACTGTGCCAGCCTCAGGCTCACGGCCTGGAGAGATGGTTCCTGAGCTTTGAATCAGTTGAACCAATAATGTTTTGGCCCATCTTCAAAGCACAGTAGAAAAAAGGTGGGGTGTATCTTTGAAGGCCTACCTGTTTCACCTGGATAAATGTCAAGGGATAATAGCTTTGTATAGGGCCACCAGGACACAGAACATCAAGAGCTTCTGTCACGGTTGCTACCTGAAAAGAAGCAAACGCAGTTTTCCAGTCGCTGTGGCCAGTGACCAGTAATCAGAGAAGCAGCTCCCATGAAGTCAAAATATCAAAGACATTGGTGGATTTGACCCAAGTCCTACTTAAACCTCAACCATTCAAATCCCACTCATTGTTGCTTCCCAGTCATTTTTCGGCCCTCCTCATCTCCCTCTCTTTTCTTTCTTTTTTTGGGGGGGCAGGGAGCTGGGGATTAGACCTAGGGCCTTGTACATGCTAGGAAAGCACTGTATATACCATTGAGCCACATTCCCAGGCCCTGTTCTTAGCTCTTGATGAAAAATAGGAATGATCAGCTAGGTGCCTGTAACCTGAGGATAGGGGTTCAAAGCCAGCCTGGGTAGTAATGTTCAGACATTTCTGCCCAGGCAACTCTTATCTCCAATAAACAACAACAACAAAAAGCCAGAAGTGGAGCTGTGGCTCAAGTGGTAGAATGCTAGCCTTGAGCAGGAGCTCAGGGACAGCACCAGGCCCTGACTTCAAGCCCTAGGACTAGCAAAAAATAAATATAAATGATCATATCTTTTTTTAAAAAAGTTTCAAATATAGCCATTCAAATGATAATCTCCTTCAAGCTCCATGAGTAAGGTCCTAAAATGAATTAGAGATGAGGTTCAAAGGCCACCCCATCTGAAAAGCTTTTTGCAACCTCTCCAAGTGACATTAACTTGGAAGCCAAGAGAGGCCAAGGACTCAGCCTAGATACGCTGCTATCATGTCACTTCTCTGTGACAAGTTCAATTACTTTACCTCTTCTGATCTAAGCTGGGTCATTATCAATTTGTATCTCTTTCTCACCATATTATCAGCCCCTTAAATGCAAGATAAAGCACTCATAGCAATATCCAGCACCAATAGATCATTTTAATATATATATTTTATTATAAAGATACTGTACAGAGGGTTTACAGTTACAAGAGTAAGGTAATGAACACATTTCCTATCAAGCATTGTTTCCTCCTTCTTTGTTTTTCCTCTACCATCCCTTCCCACACCCACCTCCCCAACTCCTCCCTCCCCCCACCACTAGATCATTATAAATATTCACTATGTTCGATTCAATTCTGTATTCAGACAATCCAAGATGCATATTCCAGTGCAATAACAACATCAACACCCCCTCAATTATTGAGTCCTGTATACTTCAGGTCAGAAGGAGCATTGTACGATTGTACCATACCATGGTACCACTGTACCAAACCTTGTGAAGCCACTACCAGCTACCCAGGGGGACAGGCATGACTGTCCCCATGTTTATATGAGGAGCAGTCTCAAGAGGGCTCACTTGAGCAAATGTAGAGCCAAGATTTACCATGATGTTTGGCTCCCAAACCCAGGGCATTCCATGGCCTCATGATAATGGCTAACATTTATTTGTTTATTTATGCTGATATTGGATCTTAACTCAAGGCATAGAGTTCTGGGTTAGCTTTTTCACTCAAAGCTAGACTAGCTGTGTCACTTGTACTATATTCCTGCTTCCAGCATTATGCTGGTTAATTAGAGATTAAGAATCTCTCAGATTTGTCTGCCCAGGTTAGCTTCAAACCTTTAGCTTCAGCTCTCAGCCTCCTGAGTAGCTAAGATTACGAGCATGAGCCACCTGCACCTGGCTGGTTAGGAATTTTATGAATGCTTTCCAAGGTAACTTTGCTACTTGTGCAGAATCAAATAAGCGTTCTAAATTATGATTCTATGGTGTTCTGTTAGGACAACTAAAGGAATTCAACTCACAGTGAAAGCTTTATGCTATTAACTATGCTCTGCATAAATTTAACTCACTTAATGTTCTGATATTTTTCCCTTCATGGTAAACATAATTCTGGTATTAAGCTACTCTGTGTGCGTGCATGCATGTGTGTGTGTGCATGCATGTGTGTGTGTTTGTGTGCGTGTGCATGCGAGTGCAAGTCCTGAGGCTTGAACTTAGGTCCTGGGCACTGTCCCTAAGCTTTTTTGTCCAAGGCTAATTAACAACTCTATCACTTGAGCCACAGCCCCACTTCTGGCTTTTTGGTGGTTAATTGAAAGTCAGAGTCTCACAGACTTTCCTGCCTGGAGTGGTTTTGAACCATGATCCTCAGATCTCAGCCTCCTGAGTAGCTAGGATTACACGTGTGAGCCCTCAGCATTCAGCATAAGCTACCCTTTTGTTGTTAATTTTATCATGTTATTTTAAACAATGGGAGTTATTTTCTGTTGCATCAAAGTAAATTTTCATAGCTCTAAAGCCAAAAAGCTTTTCCTTTAGTAGCTATGGCAGTGAACAACTAGAAAATTCTCCCTTTGTAAGTGTGATTAATGTCTGATTGATCTAAAGGGAGATGCCTATCAGATCACAGACTTTGAAGAATGTAGCACACAGACCTAACGCCAGGTGGAAACTATTACGACAGTTCAAGCAACCAGATCAGAAGGCTTCCTGAATGGAAAAATCATACAATCAGGTTTGGCATTTTGCTTCAAGATAAAAACTTACAATGCTATTTTAGAATCTCAAGATTTTTTAAGAAATAAGTAACTGTTCATGGTTTCTCTTCTTGTAAATATATGTAGGAGTTAGGGATTATAAGGGGAAAACCTGAGGACACAGAGTGCCAAAACAAATTGAATTTGGATAAAGTCATTTCTATTAAGATCTTTTAGTCTTTTCTACAATTAAGATGATCATCCCTCCCTTCTTATTTATTTTTTTGCCAGTACCAGAGCTTGAACTCTGGGCTCGAGTGCTCAAAGCTAGTGCTCTAGTATTTGAGCCACAGCTATACTTTTTGTGTGATTAATGAGGAGATAACAGTCTCATGGACTTTCCTGCCTGAGCAGGCATTGAAGTACAATCCTTGGACAGATTTCAGCCTCCTGAATAGCTAGGATTACAGGCATGAGTTACCAGTGCCCAGCATCCTCCTCTTAAAAAAAATTGGCTTATATTACTTAAGAAGGTAGGATGTCGAAAAAGATTATCGTAATTCTAATTTATGGTTGGTTTCTAGCCTTTCCCCCATGTCTCATTTTCTAATTAAGTCATAGGCCATAAAAGTTAGGACAGGATTTTGAATTGAAGCTAAGTATAATATGACAAGAGATATCAAAATTCCACAACTTGGGGAAATTCCTTAAAAAAGAGCAAAATGCCAGGTACTGATGACTCATAGCTGTAACCTTAGCTACTAAGGAGGCTGAGATCTGAGGATCATGGTTTGAAGCCAGATGGGGCAGGATAGTCCATGAGATTCAGCTCTAACTGCCCACCAAAAGAGCAGGAAGTGGAGCTGTGGTAAGGGCTTTTTAAACTTGAGGACAGCGCTAGTCCCTGAGTTCAATTTTCAGTACTGGCATATGTGCACAAACATACATGTACACATACACACACAAAAGGAAAATTATAATCTGGCAATGGTGGCTCATTGAGAGGCTGAAAGTGGAAGGCTCATGGCTTTTGGCCAGCCTGGCAGAAAAGTTCATAAGACCTTATCTTGAAAACAACCACAATAAAACTGGGCTGGAGGCATAGCTCAAGTGGTGGAGCACCAGCCTGAGTTCAAACCCTGAACTGCCCCCAAAACAAGTGGATAGGGAAAATTATGGAGACCAGCTTCTCAGGCCAGAATAATGAGATGGCCTGTCATATCCAGAGTCCTAGCCCTGCCCGGGAAAGCTGAAAACTGAACAGAATTACCTGAGAATGCCCACTACTCCACTTTGTGCAAACGTGTGCTTCCTGTCAACATGCACGCATTATCTTCTCATCTTCTCCTCTCCATTTCCCCAGAAACAGCACCCACTCCCAGGCTCACTGAAACCCAATTCACAGAAAGCTCACGAGCCTTTCCCTGGCCAGCACCTCGACCCACTGCAGCTGAGTTCTACTTCCTCGCTCCTGGCTTCCTCCCAGCACTGCTGTTATTTATGTATTTTATTTATGTATTACTTACCTTTTCCAGAACAACTTTTCCATACGCATATTTGGGTGTAGATGGAGGAATAGGTCCTTCTGGAATTCCTTCAAACTATAAACAAGACCAAAAAAAACAAACAAAAAACAAAAAAAAAAAAGAGAGCGAGAAAAGAAAAAAAAACGGTTAATCCATCAAAAACTGATCCTTAAAATTTGTTTTTCCAAAAGGGAGGCCAAAAATTCAAAGCTCAGGGCTGGTGATTCCTGGAAGGCAAAGGTACAAAGGACTTATTCTGGGAATCATACAGATAATTCTAGAACCAAAGGCTTGAAACAAATGGCAAAGATGAGCATGAGGCTAGATGCTCGGAGTTCAGGCCTGCAATTCTAGCTACTCAGGAGGCTGAGGTCTGAAGATCACAGTTCAAAGCCAGCTCAGGCAGGAAAGTCCACCAGACTTTTACCTCCAATTAAGCACCAAAAAAAAACCCCTCAAGTGGAGCTGTGGCTCAAGTGGTAGAGTGCTAGCTTTAAGCAAAAAAGCTCAAAGGCAGCATCCCGGCCCTGAGTGATGACTAGGGAGAATATTTTCAAATTCTTATAAAACGTATAAAAGCCTGGCAGTATAATCCTAGTTACTCAGGAGGCTGAGATTTAAGATTGCAGTTTGAAGCAAATATGGTAGGAAAGTCCATGAGACTCTTACCCCCAATTATACAACAAAGCTAGAAGTGGAGCTGTGGCCTAAGTGGTAGTGTGTTAGTCTTGAGCACAAAAGCTCAGGGACAGTGCATAGGCCCTGAGTTCAAGCTCCAGGACTTGCTCCAGGACACACACACACACACACACACACACACACACGTACACACACACACACACACACACACCCCTGAAGTATTTAAGAGTAAAGGACTGTGTTGTATTCAATTTTCCAATGGCTTACCCACATACATACATACAAGGGAGAGAATAAACACAATAATGGAACAGAATGAAATACTGATATGGGTAAACTTGAGTAGGGAATATAACTTTTAACTTTGGAACTATCTTAAGTAAAAAGCTGAAAAAATGTTATTAAGTATGTATTATATCCAATATGCTCACAAAATTTGAGCAGTTTCACTTAAGGCCTTTCCTGATTCTTAAGTTCTTTGTTGCCTCTAAAATTATTTTTCTGTTTATTTCATCTTGGTCTATTTCCTATTGCAGTATTTATGGTTGTTCACATGTAGTGACAATGCCAAGAGATGTATTAACTTTTCCAGAATCATCCTATCTAGCAGTCCTGTTCTGTAAAAGAGCAAGTCTTGCTCACCTGGCAACTCTGTTTTAGGGTGATTTAATAGAGTCATATCAGGTGGAAGGTCTTTGCCCTTGGGTTGTTTGCTTTTAAAACTATTTTTAAAGAAAAAGATTTGTAGGCCGGGTGCCAATGGCTCCTGCCTGTAATCATAGCTACTCAAGAGACTGAGAGCGAGGATCATGGCTCAAAGCCAGCTGGGGCAGAAAAGTCCGTGAGACTTTTATCTCCAATTAACCACCAGAAAACCAGAAGTGGTGCTGTGGCTCAAGTGGTAGAGTGCTTGCCTTGAGCAAAAGATCTTAAGGACAGATTCCAGTCCCTGAGTCCGAACCCCAGTAACTGCCCCTGGCCTGCGCCCCCTTCTCCCCGACACACAATTAAAGGAAAAAAATTCTCTTTTTTTGACTAGTGGAAATAGTCCCTCCCTGATGAACTATCTGAGGGACAGAGGAATAAAAGACTAGATGAGAAATACATTGGGGTTAATTAACTGTCTCATTTCCAGCTCAATTATGTTATACCTTGTATTGTACTCAGTTATGTGCCTGCATTGCCATGACTGTAACAAAATACCTAAGGCAGGCTAGCTTTATAAAGAAAAGAGGTTTACTTGGCTTACAGATCACTGCAGCAAGGGTAGAGTAGCAGAATAAACTTTGGGGAGAATCTTGTGATGGATAGTGGGAACACATGCAGAAGGAAGAGATCTTACTTCACAACAGGAAGCCACAGAGGCCTAGTGGGGCCAGGCTCACATTTTCATAATAACTACCTTGGGAAAACAAACTACCAAAGTTCTAAGAAAAATACCTTAATTGATCTAAGGACCTTCCATTAGGTCTCACTTCTTTATTTCTTTTTGTGCCAGTGGTAGGGTTTGAACTCTTGGCTTTGTGCTCTCCCTTGGCTTTTTCACTCATGGCTAGAGATCTAACCCTTGAGCTACCCTTCTACTTCCAGCCTTTTGGTGGCTAATTAGAGATGAGAGTTTCATAGACTTTGCTAGCTGGGCTGGCTTTTCAAACCACAATCTTCAGATCTCAGCCTCCTGAGTAGTTAGGATTACAACTGTGGGCTACTGGTACCCAGCTCTAGGCCCCAACCTAGCAATGCTGTTCCTGAGCTCTTCAGCTCAAGGTGAGTGCTCTACCACTTAAGCCACAACACCACTTCGGATTTCTGGTGGTTAATTGGAGATAAGAATCTCATAGGCTTTCCTGCCTAGGCTGGCTTTGAACCACAATCGTCAGATCTCAGCCTCCTGAGTAGCTAGGATTATAGGCATGAGCCACCAGCACCGGGCTCTACTTCCTTTCTCTAGTGATCTTTTGAAATCCCTCATGCATAGACATCTTTCCTTTGGTTGACTTCATTTTTAAAAATTTCCCTTCTTTTGTCATGGCAAGCTACATGGTAGGCTGAGATCAGGAGGACTGAGGTTCCAGGTAAACCCAGAGATAAGTATGAGTCCCTGTCACAACCTGTAGCAAGGTACAGTGGTTTGGACCTGTTATCCTAGCTCTGTGGGAAGCATGAATAGGCAGATCTTGGTCCAAGAGAACCTGGGTATACATTTGAGACAGCATGGCTAGGCCATTAGAATGCTTGACTGGCAAGCACAAGGCCCTGAGTTCAACACTCAGTATTCCCACCCCCATAAATCCTTTATCATCTTATAATATTTTGGAACAGAAAAGAGATGAATACAATAAGAACTTTCAATGAAAAAGTTCTTTGTGTTTCTAATGTTCTATGAATCTGCATTTCTGTGACATTAAAAGAAGGCATTAGCTGAACTCTGCGCCCAGGCCCGGAGTTCAGGCCCCATGACCAGCAAAAAAAAAAAAAAAAAAAAAGGCATTAGCCAAGTGTAGTAGTATATACCTTATAATCCTAGCTAGAGCACAGAAATTTGGTCAGTTTTTTAATATATTCTAGACTGTGAACTTGTGATCATTCAGTGCTGGGATTATAGGTGAGTACCTCAGACCTGGTTTCCTTAAGCTTTGAAAGTACTAAAAATCACTGTCCTTGGCCAGCTAAACTCTGGAACAAAACGTGTGTGTGTGTGTGTGTGTGTGTGTGTGTGTGTGTGTGTGTAGCTACTGGGGCTTGAACTCAGGGAAAAATCACTGTCCTTGGCCAGCTAAACTCTGGAACAAAACGTGTGTGTGTGTGTGTGTGTGTGTGTAGCTACTGGGGCTTGAACTCAGGGAAAAATCACTGTCCTTGGCCAGCTAAACTCTGGAACAAAACGTGTGTGTGTGTGTGTGTGTGTGTGTGTGTGTGTGTGTGTGTGTGTGTGTGTGTGTGTGTATGTGTGTAGCTACTGGGGCTTGAACTCAGGGCCCGGGCACTGTTCATTAGCTTTTTCTGAAGGCTGGTGCTCTACTAATTGAGCCATGCCTCTACTCCCAGCCTCTAGGTGGTTAATTGGAGATAAAAGTCTCATGTACTTTCTTGCCTGGGCTGCCTTTGAAATATGATCTTCAGATCTCTCAGCCTCCAGGTAGCTAGGATTACAGGCGTGCCACCAGTACCTATCTAGAACAAGTCTTTTTTTTTTCCAGGTTCATAATATTGTACAAATTGAGTATACATGATGAGTTGACATTAGCTTCTCCAGGCTTGGGAATTTAACAGATGAGCTCAGAGAATACGTAGAATCCATTTATGTTGCTTTCACAGTTGGAGTCTTTTTAGACCTTAACTTAAAGCATAAGACCAGCAAAGCAATGCCTATATATATGGCCAGTACACAATTCATTCTACCCGTGAGAGTATATGAGTTGAAATACTTCTTAATACCAGTGAACTGGAATTGGCCTTCATTTTCTGCGTCTGCCATGATGTCAATCTTTGCCAAAGTCACAAATTCGACAGCCAACGTCCTTCAAACAACGAAGACACCGACTTAACCTAACCGGAAAGAGTACGCCTGCCCCTGCCACTTGCACCCAACAGTAGAACAAGTCTTTTTTCCCCTCTGTTTTTATGTCTCTCCTTTAACTTCCCAAAGACAGATAAACAAAACAATACAAAAAAAAAACAACAACAAAAAAACTTCTTGTTTCCATTTCCTGGAGTTAATTTAGATAAATATTATCTTCTTTTTTGTTGTTGTTGTTTCTCACTGGTTTGAACTCAGGGCCTGGGTGCTGCTCAAGTCTAGCATTCTACCACTTTGAGCCTCAGATCTACTTCCAGTTTTCTGGTGATACTTGGAGATAAAAAGTCTCTTAGAGGGGCTGGGAAGGTGGCTCAGTGGTAGAGTGTTTGCCTCACATACATGATCCATTCCTAAGCACCACATAAACAGAAATGGCTGGAAGTGGCGCTGTGGCTCAAGTGGTGGCCTTGAGTTGAAGAGCTTAGGGACAGTGCCCAAGGCCTAGAGTTCAAACCCCATGACTGACCAAAAAGAAAGGAAAAAAAGAGTTTCTTAGACTTTCCTGCCTGGGCTGGCTTTGAACAGTGATCCTTAGATCTCAGGCTCCTGAATAGTTAGGATTACAAGTGTGAGCTACCAGTACCCAACTATAAATATTATCTTATATGATCAGAGGCACATAGGCATTGCCTTTCTGGAATAAAACTCAAAGCGAGGCTTTTTATTTTTTAAAGAAGCAAAGGGGGGCAGTACTGGGGTTTGAACTCAGGTCCTTGAACTTTTTTTTGGGGGGGGGGGTCCGGTTGTGGGGCCTGAACTCTGGGCCTGGGCGCTGTCCCTCAGCTCTTCAGCTCAAGGCTAGTGCTCTACCACTTGAGCCACAGCGCCACTTCCGACTTTTTTCTCTTTGCTTATGTGTTGCTGAGGAATCGAACCCAGGGCCTCAGGCATGCAAAGCAAGCACTCTACCACGAGCCACCTTCCTAGCCCTTGAACTTGTTAAACAAGTACTCTACAATTTTTTTTTTTTGTCTGCTTATGTGGTGCTGAGGAATCAAACCCAGGGCCTTAGGTATGCAAGGCAAGCGCTCTACCACTGAGCCACCTTCCCAGCCCTGTACTCTGTAATTTAATGCCAGCCTCCAGCCCTGTTCATTTGCAGACAACTTTGGAGATGGAACCTAATGAACTTTCCTGCCTAGGCTGGCCTCAAACTTCGATCCTCCTCTAGACCTCCCAAGTAGCCTCCCAAGTAGTTTATGGGCATGAACCACCAGCATGCAGCTTTTAAAACAAGTTTTAAATGTATTCAAAAGCATAAAAAGAAATTCAGCAGAAGGAGGGGACACTGCCCTGTAGTATTATAGTTCATCCTCAAAGTCAAAGTGTTAACCATGTCTGGTTGAGATTTACCCACACCAAAGAGGACTATCTCAGAAAATGCAAATGTCATAAACTTCGTCATGGCTTCAAGACTGTCATGCAAAGGTCTTTCTGTGCCCTTCAGCCCTTCACCACTGAGCACAGGCTAATGTAGTCTGCCTGCAAAGCCTCATCTCCTAAGTCCACGTGAGTGAAAGATACTGCCTATAACTGTCTAACATCCCTCCTCCTGAAATTGATTCAAAAGGAGACATTTTCCACTCCTTAAATCTTTGAATCACCAGAGCTCTATTTGGAGGTAGTCATCCTTCAGTTTCCTTTCCTACATGCAAGCAAATATTTCATATACACCTTAACCAATCAGCCAACTGAATGTCTATAAAGGCTCATGAGAGAGTCCATACCTCCTCTTCTTGCTTTTTGGGTGGTTAACTGGAAGTAAGAGTCACATGGACTCTTACTACAGATCTCAGCCTCCTGAGTAGCTAGGATTAGATATGAACCACCAGTGCCCAGCCCACTGAATCTTTTTTTTTTTTTTTTGCCAGTCGTGGGGCCTGAATTCTGGGCCTGGGCCCTGTCCCTCAGCATTTCAGATCAAAGCTAGAGCTCTACCACTTGAGCCACAACACCACTTCTGGTTTTTCTTCTGCTTATGTGGTACTGAGGAATCGAACCCAAGGGCTCATGCATGCAAAGCAAGCACTCTACCACTGAGCCACCTTCCCAGCCTAAATCTTTCTTTTTAATTATTGTTATTATAAAGATGATGTACAGAGGAGTTATAAGTTACACAAGTCAGGTAAAGATTACATTTGGGGTGGGGGGGGGTGTCAACGCTATCCTTTCCCTTCTTCCCTCCCACTAAATCTTTTGAAGTAGGCTAAGTCTTTCTTCCAAACCTGAAATACTAAGAAAAAGAAAAAGAAAAGAAAGAAAAGGAGGGAAATGATGACTAGATATTAGCCTGCAACCTACCACTTTCATTTCTAAAGCTGGTCTACTTTGTGTGTCTGTCTTACTCTGCTCACTAGTAGAAGAATATGTAGGAACCTCTGGGGTTATCTTTTGGGGGGCCTGCTGTCCTTCTCCCTGGCATTCCACATGAAGTCTCAGCCTCTACCTGGACTTCATTCCCAAGGAGATGGTTAGAAATACCTCAGGTTATTGAAGTGTCACATAGAAATAAGGCTACCAGAGGGTACTAGTGGCTCAGTTTCTTGGAAGGCTGAGATCTGAGGACCACAGTTTAAAGCCAGCCTGGGCAGGAAAGTCCAAAGTCCAATTAACTACCAGAAAATCAGAAGTGGTGCTGTGACTCAAGTGGTAGAATACTAGCCTTGAGCTGAAGATTTCAGGGACAGCCCCTAGGCCCAGAATTCAAGCCCCAAGACAAAGAAGAAAGGAGAAAGAAGAAAGAAGCAAAAGAGCTTAGGGACAGCACCCAGGCCCTGTATTCAAGCCCCACAACCGAAAAAAAAAAAGTTTAACCTCAGAATTTATAGCTGCAAAAGGAGAAACAATGGAATTAGAAGAGATATCTAAAGATATTGAGATTGTCATACAAAGTAAAAGGAAGTTAAAGGTTGAAGCTAATATCAGAATGCTACATAAACATCTAAAGATGCTTGTTTGAATAAGTATCTAAATATGCTGACAAGAAATATCTGTCAGTGCAGAAAAAATGAGGAAGAAATGACATCTTCAGACCTAAGAACTAAGGTAGTCAGAGATGGCAGCTCATGCCTGTAATTCCAGCTACTGAGGAGATGAAGACCAGGAGAATTGTGGTTTTGAGACTAGCTTAACTAGAAACAGCAAAAACCTGTGTCAACACACAAGCTTGGCATTGGGGTGTGTGTCTGTCATCCTAGCTACATAGGAAGCATAAATAGGAAGACCCTGGACCAGGATAGCCCAGGCAAAACTTTGAGACTGTATCCAAAAACTAAGCAAACCAAAAAAGGGTTTGGGGCGTGGCTCAAATGGTAGAGCACTTGCTCAGCTAGTATGAGGATTTGCATTCAAATTCTAGTGCAAGCTGGGTGCTGGTGGCTCACACCTGTAATCCTAGCTACTCAGGAAGCTAAGATCTGAGGATCACAGTTCAAAGCCAGGCCAGGCAGGAGAGTCCATAAGACTCTTATCTACAATTAACCACCAGAAAATGGGAAGTGGAGCTGTGGCTCAAAGTAGTAGAGCACTAGGCTTGAGCAAAAGCACTCAGGGTCAGTGCCCAGGCCCTGAGTTCAAGCCCCATTACTCACACAAAAATAAATGAATAAATGAATAGATAAATAAATAAATAAATGTCTCATACAGAGAGTGACTGAGAGACAGAGACAGAATATTAAGGTATTTTGATCAATAAATGAAATGCTAACGGGTACAATTCATGTAAAAGGAAAGTAATCTCAAATGCAGACCAAACTACAGGAAGGAATAAAGAATAAAAGAAGGCTGGGGGTGTGGCTCAAGTGGTAAAGTACCACCCTAACAAGTGTGAGGTCTTCAGTTCACACCACAGTACTACAAAAACAAAAAAACAACAAAAGCAAATTAAAAAGAATGATGCCAGTTTAGGTGGCTCACGCCTGTAACCCTAGCTACTCAGAAGGCTGAGTCTCAGAATCATAATTCAAAGCCAGCCCAGGCAGGAATGTCTATGAGACTATTATCTCCAATTAACAACACACACAGACACGCTCACACTCACACACAACACACGACACAAGTAGAGCTGTGGCTCATGTAGTAGAGCACTAACTTTATACAGCAAAGTCCAAGGACAGCACCTGGGCCTTGAGTTCAAGTTCCAGGACTATCAAAAAAAGGGGGGGTGGGGGAGGCTGGGAAGGTGGCTCAGTGGTAGAGTGCTTGCCTAGCATGCATGAGGCCCTGGGTTCAATTCCTCAGCACTACATAAGTAGAAAAAGCCAGAAGGGGTGCTGTGGCTCAAGTGGTAGAGCGCTAGCCTTGGAGCTGAAGAGCTGAGGACAGTGCCCAGGCCCAGAGTTCAAGCCCCATGACTAACAAAAAAATAATAATAATGAAGGAGTGGCACTAAGACATAGGTACTAGATCTTTGCCACAAGTTCTGAAATATAACCTACAACTCAACCAGCACATGTATTAGATATGTTAGACTACCACTTCTAAGACTCACCTTCCCGCAGAAATGACAACTTTGTCCTTGGGGTCCCCCAACTCCTGAGGCTTGAACTCAGGGCTTTGTCCCTTAGCTTTGTCCCTTAACATTTTTGCTGAAGGCTAATGTTCTACCACTTAAGCTCCATTTCCAGCCTTTTTGTGGTTAATTGGAGATAAGAGTCTCACAGATTTTTTCTGACTAGGCTGGCTTTGACCCTCAATCCTCATATCTCAACCTGAATAGATAGTATTACAGGTGTAAGCCTCTAGTATTGGCAGTTCCGCTGGCATAACATGACCTGACCTACGTATTTCTTTCTGCCTTTACCAGCCATGATCTTCTCTCACAGAAAAGGCCACCAAACCTTCTAGTTAGTCTCTACTTAGCCTTCCTGCTACACCTCTGCCTTTTTTGCCTTTTCTTCCAAAGCTGTCTGTCAGTACAGCAGCCTGAGTAAAATTTTAATTGCTCTGCCCAACTTGTCAATGGCTCTTCATTTCAAGGCCAGCCCAGGC